TTTCACGGTAGCGAAAATTGACAGTACAACTATATGAGTGCTTCGTGCTTTCATGGTAGTGTAGACCCGTGAAAGTCCGGGTTAGAATATTGATCTTCAGTAAACCATGCTTGTCGTAAGAGGCGACTAACGGGGTCGGATGGTCGGACTTGGTTGACACATGTCATCAATTCACAATTGCGCAGATCGATGCTCATCCTGTTGATCACTGGATTGTCTCGTCCAGACTCGATTATTTACAGACCACCGCCATATAGCTGGAACATTGCTGAGTGCGGCGTAGAACTAAACTCACTCACTTGTGCTTCGAATTTTCATGGTAGTATATATCGCCAGTACAACTACATAAATACCTAATGCTTTACCTGAGATTGTACATTGACAGTACAACTACATAAATACCTCATGCTTTACCTGAGATTGTATATTGACAGTACATCTACATAAATACCTCATGCTTTAACTGAGATTGTATATTGACAGTACAACTACATAAATACCTCATGCTTTACCTGAGATTGTATATTGACAGTACAACTACATAAATACCTCATGCTTTACCTGAGATTGTATATTGACAGTACAACTACATAAATACCTCATGCTTTACCTGAAATTGTATATTGACAGTACAACTACATAAATACCTCATGCTTTACCTGAGATTGTATATTGACAGTACAACTACATAAATACCTCATGCTTTACCTGAGATTGTATATTGACAGTACAACTACAATGCTTTACCTGAGATTGTATATTACATAAATACCTCATGCTTTACCTGAGATTGTATATTGACAGTACAACTACATAAATACCTCATGTTTTACCTGAGATTGTATATTGACAGTACAACTACATAAATACCTCATGCTTTACCTGAGATTGTATATTGACAGTACAACTACATAAATACCTCATGCTTTACCTGAGATTGTATATTGACAGTACAACTACATAAATACCTCATGCTTTACCTGAGATTGTATATTGACAGTACAACTACATAAATACCTCATGCTTTACCTGAGATGGTATATTGACAGTACAACTACATAAATACCTCATGCTTTACCTGAGATTGTATATTGACAGTACAACTACATAAATAAATACCTCATTGTATATTGACAGTACCTGAGATGGTATATTGATAGTACAACTACATAAATACCTCATGCTCTACCTGAGATGTTGTATATTGACAGTACAACTACATAAATACCTCATGCTCTTACCTTTACCAGTACAACTGAGATTGTATATTGACAGTACAACTACATAAATACCTCATGCTTTACCTGAGATTGTATATTGACAGTACAACTACATAAATACCTCATGCTTTACCTGAGATTGTATATTGACAGTACAACTACATAAATACCTCATGCTTTACCTGAGATTGTATATTGACAGTACAACTACATAAATACCTCATGCTTTACCTGAGATTGTATATTGACAGTACAACTACATAAATACCTCATGCTTTACCTGAGACTGTATATTGACAGTACAACTACATAAATACCTCATGCTTTACCTGAGATTGTATATTGACAGTACAACTACATAAATACCTCATGCTTTACCTGAGATTGTATATTGACAGTACAACTACATAAATACCTCATGTTTTACCTGAGATTGTATATTGACAGTACAACTACATAAATACCTCATGCTTTACCTGAGATTGATTGACAGTACAACTACATAAATGTATGCTTTACCTATTGTATATTGACAGTACAACTACATAAATACCTCATGCTTTACCTGAGATTGTATATTGACAGTACAACTACATAAATACTTCATGCTTTACCTGAGATTGTATATTGACAGTACAACTACATAAATACCTCATGCTTTACCTGAGATTGTATATTGACAGTACAACTACATAAATACCTCATGCTTTACCTGAAGCTGTATATTGACAGTACAACTACATAAATACCTCATGCTCTACCTGAGAAGCTTGTACGCGTATCTCTACCTTACGTTGGAAGGTGGAAGGAGGAAGCAGCCGCGTGTCATACATGATGTAACACTGAGTTGGGTGATTTCGGTTTTACGCTGCTTTTAGCAAAATTCCGGCAATATTACGGCGGGGGACACCAGAAATGGGCTTCACACATTGCACCCATAGAAGGAATCGAACCCGGGTCTTCGGCGTGACGAGCGAACGCTTTAACCACTTGGCTACCCCACCGCCCCCATGATGTAAGAAAAAGACGACTTGTTACAACCCTTCTCAAGCTTGAGTGCTGGAATGGCAACGTCGTGCGCCTTGGTGCATCTGACATCTTATCACTCTCCTACCCAGAGTTCCATGCGGCATAGGCGGTGGGGTAGCCTAGTGGTTAAAGTGTTCGCTCGTCACGCCGAACATCCGGGTTCGATTCCCCACATGAATACAATGAGTGACGCCCGTTTCTAGTGTCCCCCGCCGTGATATTGCCTGAATATTGCTAGAAGCGGCGTAAAACTAAACTCACTCACTCCATGTGACTTTGTTTACGAATCATGTTGGTGTATCGGCGCTTGTCCAAGGAAATGAACACGTCCGTTGTGTCATGTTATTGACTATCCCATGTATTCAGTTCCATAAGTGAGTATAAGAAAAAGCAGCATATCAAATATGTTCCGAAATCAGCTTAATGTGGGAGTTGGGGCGGTGGGGTAGCCTATTGGTTAAAGCGTTGACTCGTCACGCCGAAAACCCGGGTTCGAATCTCCACATGGGTAAAATGTGTGAAGCCCATTTCTGGTGTCCCCCGCCGTGATGTTGCTGGAATATTGCTAAAAGCGGCGTAAAACCAAACTCACAGTCAGTAATGTGGGAGTTAGGTGCTGTTAAAACTAGGAAAATAAACAGGGCATACAGTCCGTTTGGGTTCAAATAAAAACGACGAATGATTAAATAACTTGAAATAGGGATAAGTGCACAAAATATAAATAAGACACACCTCTTCACAACAGCCTGCATCACTGACCGCCTCCGTGGTGTAGTGGTTAGAGCGTCCGCCCGGAGAGCGGAAGGTCGCGGGTTCGATCCCCGACCGCGTCATACCAAAAGACGTTAAAATATGGTACTTGTTGGTCCCTGCCTGGCGCTCGGCATTAATGGGTACAACAAGGACTGGTCGGCTCGGAGTCAGTATAATGTGTCTGAGTGGGGTATTCATGCTTCACTGCGGCATGGTATCTCAGTGAGCTAGCACTATAAAACCAGCTTCAGTCTTGGCTAGTACAAGCAGCCGCACATACACATACACACGCATGCACGTCGTCATATGAGCAAAATATTCTCAAGCACGACGTTAAACCCAATTTCACCTCACCTCACCTCACCTGCATCACTTTTTCTGACGTGCCTCTGAAGTACGACTGTATATTTGTGGTGTCAGTTTAATTTGCTATAAATAATAATAGAAAACAAACGCAGTCGTGTTCGAAAAAATCTTTTAAACATGTTAGTCTTTTGTGGAAATATATAATTCAACAACCCGGATTGTGAGTCGTTAATATGGATTAATATGGATTAGTTTTAAGGGTTAATATTAGGGCTGCGCAATATAACCGGTTTACCGGTATTTACCGGGTCAGACATGAAAACGATACGTATTGCGATACGCTGATCGAAAACCGGTATTTTGACTTGCATTCGGAAAACTTCGTAACACTCGGAAATCTTCGGATATTTCCTTTTTTCATTTGTGCCAAATATTATTCACATTTTTATTTTTAATCATGAATAAAAGTTGTTATTAAAGCTTAATCAAGCATAGTGATTTTGCTGTGTATTTGCTCTATAAATCAAGCATTACCTCGACTATAAGTAGTTTTTTTGTTTAAAAATACTCCACGCAATATATTGCAATATATAGTGATTTTGCTGTGTATTTGCTCTATAAATCAAGCATTACCTCGACTATAAGTAGTTTTTTTGTTTAAAAATACTCCACGCAATATATTGCAATACATATCGCAATACATGCTTTCGCATCACAATATATCGCAATATGAAAATTCTCTGCAATACCCACCCCTAGTAAATATGAACTGTCTGAAAACGATGTGGAATATGGACAAAACAAAATAATCGTCACGAGTACGTAAACAATAGTAGAAAACAAATAATTTGAACACATCAGTCCTTTGTGAAAATATAGACAGACAGATATTTTAGTAAAAGGTCATAGGCCCCAAATACAGTCTTTGCAGAATATTTAACCTATTTGCGGAGTGATAAAGTAGTATTAATCTTTTTCCTTAATCGTTGGACTTTCTCCAGATAATGACATATATTATAAATAACATCATTATTTGTTGATGACATCAAATTTACAAAGTGTTGCACAGATAGGTAATCTTTCTGTGTAAATTTACGAATTTGTTGAGTGGCATTCAGAAGTTGGTGTGATGAACAACGAGGAGAGTTCTATGGAAATACAACTTCTTTAATATATTATGAGCGACGTTTCGGTGTAGCTACTAACACCGTTATCAAGCAAATGATGATTAGATAAATCATTCAATCATTCTTGTAGAAGGTTATCACAAAATCTCTGCTTAAACAAAAATATAAAATATTTAACATTTCCAACTTCCTGAGATATCCATAAAAATCCAATTCCATACCTAAATAATAGGGCTGCGCAATATAACCGGTTTACCGGTATTTACCGGTTCAGACATGAAAACGATACGTATTGCGATAGCTGATCGAAAACCGGCATTTTGACATGCAATCGGAAAACTTCGTAACACTCGGAAATCTTCGGATACTTCCGTTTTTTTAATTGTTCTTTTCCCTGTTTCATTAGTGCCAAATGTTACTTACATTTTTATTTTGTCATGATTAAAAGTTTTTATAAAAAGTTAATCAATCATAGTGAGTTTGTTGTGTTTTTGCTTTATAATCAAGCATTAACTCGATTATAAGTAGTTTTTGTTAAAAAAAATAATCCTTGCAGTATATTGCAATACATATCGCAATATATGCTTCCGCATCGCAATATATCGCAATATGAAAATTCTCTGCAATACCCACCCCTACTAAATAATATGTTCTTTATGTGTGTGACCCAATTAGAACGTTGATCATTATTAAGTGACTTAAGCAGATCATAACACTAGAAAGGTAGTATTGAGTGATCTAAATGAATAAGACTGTACCAATATTTAATAGTTTTAGTCATATATAAAGACATAAGTGGGATTCTGCCACAATCCCCTAACACCATACAATTTGTTGTCTTTCGACCAACCTGTAAATACCATTTGATCATGCATCAAACATGGCAATACCCTTTTCACCGTTACTAATTTGTTTTACAATACATCAGTTCATGTGTAAACAGTACGTTTTAAACAGTATGGAATATTTGGCAAAATCGAGTTTAGAACAGTTGACTGAAGTATGTGGCCACATTTACATGGATGGGTAATATATGTGAACATCCTTACCACCATGAGTTTCCATAGTCTTAATCAGTTGATTAATACAGATGATGAATATCTGCGGACTTAAAATACAGCCCTGACGTGTGCCAATCTGGCAAGAGAAATAGCCTGACAACCCTTTGCTCTGCCTAACACGAGCACAGTGTTTGGAATACATATTATAATCTCAAGAAATTTACCTTTATTACCAACATCACAAAGACTTTTGTGGGGTGCACACTCCAGTTTTAAAGAGTTTCAATGGTCATTTAATAAACTTGTAGGGGTGGGGGTGTGGGTGTGGGGTGGGTGGGTGGGTGGGGGTGGGGTGCGCAGATTGTTTTCTTAAGTACTGAATTTCTTTCCTCACAACTTAACAGCTACTGATTGGTCGTTTTCAAACACAGGGTTATCGTGTTCTTGAACGTGATTTGCTGGCGTCGCGTTCTGTTTTCGTGGTGAAGACTTCTGAAGAGCCTCAATGCGTCTGTTCTCGTCTGTTTGTATCGGGATGAGGTTGGCAAACCTATCATCTTCCTGAGTCAGGTTCTTGTCCCACTTGCGATTTGTCTGAAACAGTTGTACAGAATCAACAGTTATGTCAAACTTTAGAGCAAATTTTAGGGTCACTTATTTTCGCTTCATGTAACAGTAAATTGTTTCTATAACGAAAACGCTTGTAACGAACTTATGGATATAACCACTTTTTGTGCCCTGGACACTTGCTGTATATATTGGTCAAAATGCATATGAGGAACTTCGGTTGAAATGAACTTAAACTACCAACAATTCTGTACGTTACCAGGGAAAGTAACTTGTCCTGACTAATTTTCCACTTGTCCTGATTTTATGAAATAATCATGATGATGTAATCATGAAAGAATAAATCAACATGGTATTTGATGTTAATGTTTACTGGACTATTTATTGAAAAGTGATAAATAACAAAGAAAGATAACTCTACTTTATTATCATTGCGAAATTTAATAGCTACATATCGAGCAGATATGAAATTAAATCCAAGTTTATTTGCAGGTTGAAACCATAAGTGGAAATTATCTAGCAGCCCACGGACAAGTAAGATTTCATTATTTGATTGCTCGAAATGAAAACTGACTTGTCCCGGGCGTCGGGAGATGGGATTTTTTAACCCCTGAGTACGTTATAACCGAAGTGTACCGTATTTACTTTTAGAAGTAAATCCCATTTTGCCAATAAGATTGTGTTTTCTGGATATAATGACTTTTTATGAACAGTTTGCATCCTGTAGTCAAGCGTGTCCACCAGCCTGTATCAAACTAGAAACTGAACTCTGATAGAAGTTCATTAACGTTTCTTGTTTTTTAGTCTGTATGTAGTTTTACGCTAGACGTAGCGATATTCTAGCTATATGGCCAAAGTCTGTAACAATCGAGTCTTGACCAGACGATCCAGTGATCAACATTATGAGAATCGATCTATTCATTTAGGATACGATTACTAGTGTGAAACAGGTCAGCGAGTCTGGTCACCCGATCTGTTACGACAAACTTTGGTTACTGAAGACCAGTTTTAACCCGGATCTTCACGGGTTGCCTGACCTTGTGTCGTGAAGATCATAGAACCCATTGGATGTATTCATGATCCTACTTACAGCTCCTTTGTTCATCTTCAGCAGGCCGCTCAGGTCAGAGGCATCAATGTCTTTAGCCTTCTGCTTCCCTATAAAACCATCTCGTTAACATGGTGATATACACATGGGGGGACAGACAATACACACAGAGAAAATTTGTGAAAACTAATATATATTATGGAATACTGTAAGGGACATTCTCGCGATCTCGCATTCTCGCACTTTTGGCATCTTTAGCTTGTTTCCAAAGGTCGAGATCGCGAGAATGCGAGATCGCGAGAATGTCCCTTACAGTATTCCATAATATATAGATGATGCTGAACAAAAAGCAAAAAGCATAAATCAGATGGAAGTTTACTACAAAAGAATTTGTTCGCTGTGTATGTAGGACAAAAATGTTGCAAAAACATGAAAGGTTGAACTCATTATTTTAAATGACTAGACTAACTACTAGTCTCTGAAATGAACATATTCTACAGAAAAAAAATGTTTATAGTAAAAAATTATAATCTAATGAAAAGGAGCCCAGAGACTTTCTTCATTTTCAGAAGCTCTGGAAATCTAGACTTGCCACATTTTCTAGACTGGCGCTTTCTTGGATATATATGCTTAAGGGTTTGTATGACAGACTATTAAATGACCTGATCATGAGGCACTTATTCAGGCTGGGGTCCCTACGTGGTACAATCCATAGCGGCTTGTAACGCTAAAAACTGCCATCAAGGTAAGTGGATGTAACATATATTATATTTTGGATTACACCTAATCGTCAGCACACAAAGTCAGGCGCCTAGACCGCTCAGCCACCGCGGCTTCCACATTTCCACATTTCCCGGTGGAAGCGGTGGCTGACTTTGCGTGCTGACGATTAGGTGCCTGACTCTGAGGGTGTGGGTTCGAATCCCGGATGGGACTCAACCCTACAAAAGTACTAGAATCTGTACAAAGAAAGTGTAATCCCAAATATAACATATGTTAAAATTGACCACTTTCTAAATGGCATTGTGTATTTCAAGGTATATACTGTCACTGACGGGGTCTTAGTACTAAGATAAATGGCATTGTGTATTTCAAGGTATATACTGTCACTGGCGGGGTCTTAGTACTAAGATAAATGGCATTGTGTATATCAAGGTATATACTGTCACTGACGGGGTCTTAGTACTTAGAAAAACGGCATTGTGTATTTCAAGCTATATACTGTCACTGACGGGGTCTTAGCACTAAGATAAATGGCATTGTGTATTTCAAGGTATGTACTGTCACTGACGGGGTCTTAGTACTAAGATAAATGGCATTGTGTATTTCAAGGTATATACTGTCACTGACGGGGTCTTAGTACTTAGAAAAACGGCATTGTGTATTTCAAGGTATATACTGTCACTGACGGGGTCTTAGTACTAAGATAAATCGCATTGTGTATTTCAAGGTATGTACTGTCACTGACGGGGTCTTAGTACTAAGAAAAATGGCATTGTGTATTTCAAGGTATATACTGTCACTGACGGGGTCTTAGTACCAAGATAAATGACATTGTGTATTTCAAGGTATATACTGTCACTGACGGGGTCTTAGTACTAAGAAAAATGGCATTGTGTATTTCCCAAGGTATATACTGTCACTGACGGGGTCTTAGTACTAAGAAAAATGGCATTGTGTATTTCAAGGTATATACTGTCACTGACGGGGTCTTAGTACTAAGATAAAATGGCATTGTGTATTTCAAGGTATATACTGTCACTGACGGGGTCTTAGTACTAAGATAAATAGCATTGTGTATTTCAAGGTATATACTGTCACTGACGGGGTCTTAGCACTAAGATAAATGACATTGTGTATTTCAAGGTATAAACTGCCACTGGCGGGGTCTAAGTACTAAGATAAATGGCATTGTGTATTTCAAGGTATATACTGTCACTGCCGGGGTCTTAGTACTAAGATAAATGGCATTGTGTATTTCAAGGTATATACTGTCACTGACGGGGTCTTAGTACTAAGATAAATGGCATTGTGTATTTCAAGGTATATACTGTCACTGACGGGGTCTTAGTATTTAGAAAAACGGCATTGTGTATTTCAAGGTATATAATGTCACTGACGGGGTCTTAGCACTAAGATAAATGACATTGTGTATTTCAAGGTATGTACTGTCACTGGCGGGGTCTTAGTACTAAGAAAAATGGCATTGTGTATTTCAAGGTATATACTGTCACTGACGGGGTCTTAGTACTAAGATAAATGACATTGTGTATTTCAAGGTATATACTGTCACTGACGGGGTCTTAGTACTAAGAAAAAATTTGGCATTGTGTATTTCTAAGGTATATATTGTGTATTTCAAAGGTATATACTGTCACTGACGGGGTCTTAGTACTAAGATAAACGGCATTGTGTATACTTCACGAGGGGTATAAATGGCATTGTGTATTTCAAAGGTATATACTGTCACTGACGCAGGGTCTTAGCACTAAGATAAATGACATTGTGTATTTCAAGGTATATACTGTCACTGCGGGGTCTTAGTACTAAGATAAATGGCATTGTGTATTTCAAGGTATATACTGTCACTGACGGGGTCTTAGTACTAAGATAAATGACATTGTGTATTTCAAGGTATATACTGTCACTGGCGGGGTCTTAGTACTAAGATAAATGGCAGTGAAAGGATAAATCCTTTTATATAGTACTAAGACCCGTCAGTGACAGTATATACCTTGATGGCAGTTTTTAGCGTTACAAGCCTCTGCTGTACAGTCAGCACATACACACTCCCTCCATAAAGTATATATCACTCTGTATAATGCACATTTAAAAGAAAAACTCTTTCACATCATTCTTATCATGTCGATAATATGGTAACTTCCAATAAACAGGTAACAAATAAAATCTAAATATTAAAAATCAAGTTTGCTCCGAAAGGATTTTTAAATCTCCTATTTGTAAAACAATATGGTGCGTATTGCCTGCCACGTGATCTGTACATCTTGTCCGGAGAAATACAGATATCTTCTGTGTCTTACCTGCAACACCAGGAGCAATATTGGTGCCATTGTCTTCCTGGCCAAGGTATAAGCTGGTCTCAATCTGGGGACTTAAAGACGAAACAATATGTTTTATTACAGATGCACTCCAAACACTGGACTCAAACCGGCTGTTATTGTCCATGAAGGCACTCTTATCTAATACCAGCTAACTGTTAGATCCGTGCTCTTAATGAAACTTACATTTACACTTTAAAAGGATTTTTTTCTTGTTCTACCTGAAGAGTGCTACGTTTATTTATTATTATGCGTAACTGTGCTTGTTCTGATATCGGCTTGTGTTTGATTGTATAGTGATGTCTGTATTCCATGTTTCCATGTTACCTTTAACATGTATGAACTTCGTATGGTGTAAGACTAATTTCCTTGGGGACAATAACAGTTATCTTGTCTCGATCCCTACTGCCAAGTAGGAAGAACATCTAAGAGGAGGCTGACAATCCAGCTGACAGTCTTAATAATTTATTATATACCCATGCTCAAACATAGCATGGTCATATAGGGGTGCAATACGGATGACGTGGTCAAATTCCGTATTGCACCCCAGATTCCGTATTCAACCCCTGCCGGTTCTGCTGATTTTTTTTTATTAAGTAACAGATTGATGCAAGATAAGAGGGTATATAATAAATATAGAAACGTCATTCTAGTGCATTTGGATGTTTTGTATTGAACTCGAAGATGTCATAGGAGCAGAAGGAGCGCAGAAGAGAGGGAGCGAAGGAGTAAAATACAAAACATCCAAATGCACTAGTATGACGTTCTTTATATATATACTAAGCAGCAAAAGAAACGTCTGTTTGGATTTCCTTCGCAGAAACGGATATCTGTAAACTTATTTCATGTTTTGATTGTATATTCTTGACAACATCTCCAACTTTACCTGAGCAAAGACATTCCTTCCCAAACTAAGAATGGAACCCAGGAAATGGTCTCAAAAACGCAACCTGATCTCGGAGATGGTACGGTGTTCTCCATGTTTTTCATGCAACTCATGCTGCACGTGCTGTTCTCAAGGACCAGCCCTATAAAATGCACCCCACACCTGGTTGAAACACTCACATTACAACGTCAGCAGGATGCCCCTTCTCCACGACAACTCAGAGGAACCAGGCGCTAGGAAGACTTTGAAGCTGGCCACACTGCCGTTGCCAATCACTTCCAGGTCAACGTTCGGACCATCTACAGGCTGCAGCAACGTTTCCGGGCCACCAACACCACAAATGATCGCCCCCGTACTGGCAGACCAAGGGTGACCACAAGACGACAAGACCGCCATGTTGTGCGACAACATGTACAGAATCCTTCATGTAGGCATCCGAAACAGCACGCCAGCACGAATATAGCGAAGACGTGGCCAGCGTTACTCAGACCAATGTGTTATGGAAAGAGACTCATGGGGAGGTGCAAGCATCATGGTATGGGGTGGAATAGGCCTGAACCAGAGAGTGGGTCTTGTGGTGTTCCAGAACCTTGGTCCAGGGAGAGGAGGCAGCATCACAGCGGTGCGCTACATCGACCAAGCTCTCAGACCCCACGTCATACCACATTTCGCACGTCACCGGAACAACATTTTCCAGCATGATAACGCCCGGGCCCATACTTCCAGAGCTACACGGGACTTCCTACAGCAGAACGGTGTCAACATTATGCAGTGGCCAGCCCTTAGTCCTGATTTAAACCCAGTTGAACATCTTTGGGATGAAATTCAGAGGAGACTGAATAATGTCATACCAAGGCCGAACACAGCCGATTTATTGCGCCAGGCCTTTCTCAGAGTGTGGTTCCAGGTGCCAATGGCCTTCATCAATCGATTGGTGCACTCCATGCATAGACGCTGTGCTGCAGTTATTGCCGCTCGTGGTGGTCACACTAGATACTGAAGTCAAGAGTCTGAATGGACTGCAAACGTTCACGTAATGTCTTGAATTGTGCTGAGTTATTCATTGATGTGTCAAGATATTGTACACAAAAATGCTTTTGATCCGCTTATTATGTCCATTTCTGAAATGATTTGATTACAGTGCCTATCTAATTTTGAATTCGTACTGACGTTGATTTTGCTGCTGAGTATATATTCAAACCATTGACAGAGATGGCAAGATTCAGATATTGGCGGGTATTGCTACATAATACAGAATTAGGTTCTCACTCTTGTATATAGGCTCTGAATGGCACTAGCTTATCTTGTTGATCTTGGTTTGGCCTACGAAGTCCACCTTAACGATCACGACATTCGGTGGATAAGCGCTTTCTTCAAAATCAAAATCCTGTACAAAAACATATGGCCAGACACTTGGGCCACATGGACTACTTTACATATTGTATAGCTATGGCATGACATAAGACATTGGACGAAACACACGCACCTTTATAGCGTATCTTCCCCGGACACCGATAATTTCCTCCACGCCGGCCATCAAATGATCTATCAGCTGAAACAATAAAGTGAGTGAGTATGGTTTTACGCCGCTTTTAGCAATATTCTAGCAATATCACGACAGGGGACACCAGAAATGGGCGTCACACATTGTACCCACGTGGGGAGTCGAACCCGGGTCTTTGGCATGACGAGTCAACGCTTTAACAAGTGGGCTGCCCCACCGCCCCGAAACAATGCAATAACTGTACATACCATGTCACTTATGTAATCCTTAAACTACATCCCCTCAAATTTACGAAACACATAAACACATACGTCGGAATGAAAATATACAGTTCGGCCAGGTGGGTGATGGGTAACACGGAACAGCCTCTGTCTCACTCATTCCTCGAGTGAGTGAGTATGGTTTTACGCAGATTTTAGCACTATTCTACAATATTACTGCGAGGCACACCAGAAATACCCATGTGGGGAATCGAACCCAGGTCTTCAGCGAACGCGGACAGGTTGGGTAGCCTAGTGGTTAAAGAATACGCTGAAGACCCAGGTTCGATTCCTCACATGGGTACAATGTGCGAAGCCCATTTCTGGTGTCCCCGCCGTGATATAAAAGTGGCGTAAAACTAAACTCACTCATTCAATTCAGCGAACGCGTTAACAATTACCACAAGAGCTGGGTCTTTGAGGTGCTGGTTTACAACAAGTAGGCCACTGAATTTGAATGGGACGTGGGGTGATGTACCTGTTATGGGGGGATATATGTTTTCCATGGCCGAGGAACCCGGTGGACAAGGAGTGAGTGTGTTAAGTTTACGCCGCGCTCAGCAATATTCCAGCTGCGGTCTGTAAATAATCGAATCTGGACCGTATCAACAGCATGAACATCGATCTGGGATACGATGACATGTGTCAACCAAACCAGCAATCCTGGGTCCCGATCCACAAAGCGTTCGTAACGTTACGACCTGTCGTAACTCTATAGTTTAACAAAGGCTTACGAATGTCGTAGCGCTACGAACGTTTTGTGGCCCTGACCACCCCAATCCCGTTAGTCGCCTCTTACGACACGTATGTGTTACTGAAGATCTATTCTAACCCGGATATTCACGGTGGACAAGGAATATACCTTACCGCAAACCTAACCATATTGCAGCGTCTTATGCATGTTCGGGTCCGTAGCGATAAGAACACCATATAGTTAGGGTTTTACCCTCTTTGTTTAGTTTTCACATTTATCTAAAACAGGAGCCGTCAGAAAACTAACATAGAGTTATTCCTTCAAGATATATTTTATCCTGGAAATACCATACACATCCGGGTAAGTTGTTTTCACACCGTCAGTTCCACACACCTATATTTTAGGGCAGTCGGTATGGTGCAAATATAACACTTGATTGTAGTTTTACGCCGCACTCAGCAATATTCCAGCTATAAGGCGGTGGTCTGTAAATAATCTAGTTTGGTCAAGATAATCCAGTGATCAACATGATGTCCAACGATCTACGCAATTGCGATACGAACGTGTCAACCAAGTCATTGATCCTGACCACCTGATCCCCTTAGTCGCCTCTTACGACAAGCATGGGTTACTGAAGATGAATTCTAATCCGAATCTTCACGGGTGTATGTTGGAAGTAATCGAACGTGTCTCAGCCACCCACAATCCTACATCCGTCGCAATTTAGGTAATGCAAAAGGTGAGTGAGTGAGTTTAGTTTTACGCCGCTTTTAGCAATATTCCAGCAATATCACGGCGGGATAGACCAGAAATGGGCTTCACACATTGTACCCATGTTGGGAATAGAAGCCGGGTCTTCAGCGGGTGTATGTTGAAAGTAATGGTACGTGTCTCAGCCACCCAAAATCCGACATTCATGTGTAAAGCGAGATAAGTACAAGTTCCTGACTCACGTTTTCATTTAGATCCTGAAACATGCTGAGCTGCTTCTTCTGAGCCAACCGGACACGGAATAGCCTCACTAGGGGCTTGATGGTGATACCCTTGGAAATAAAACATGAGATATGAAAGACTGAGTGGGTGAGAAGAGTTTTACGCCGCTTTTAGCAACATTCCAACAATATCACATCGGGGAACACAAAAAATGGTGGATATGTAAGATGTCCAAACACCCTCTTAACTGAATAGGCCAATAATCCCGGTAATCGTAATCCTTGCATATAAAACAATGTCTTGAGCAGGAAATCTAGTTTAATCGCAATTGTCTGTTTTTCTGGTATGAAGTTTCTTTTTACCTGTTTGTTCACCTGAATCGCTGAAGGACACGCAAATCGGACTTCGCAAATCACGCATTATAAAAACATTAAATTTGGGTAAGGGGGTAACTGACAAGATTCAAATGTATCCGCGCAAAGTGTGAGAAAAGTGTCGGATAAGAGAGGGTCAGCCGTACTATTTTTCCACTCTCTTACACTGCTTTACACAAAAATCAAATGTAAATTTAAGAAATTCACTATATAGAGTCTATTTTTTCATTATAGAGGCAGAATGTTAATCGTTGTCTAGAACATATGTAACACTTCCTGGGTCCTAAAGAAGTGCGACATGAAGTTAAATTACTGAAACAATATAATATGTAAGGGAAATTGCAACGATAACGATGTAAAAGAATTGCTAACCAATAATATTCGCGTACCAAATACGCTGATGAGTGCCGAATACCATTTTGAAAATGACCTCAGTACGTTTATTGTTCCTTCCTTAGAATACGACTCAAAGCGATCTCACCAGCTGAGTTATATTTTTTATATCGCCGCAAGTTGCAGTAATGCAACTGCATGGCAGCGGTCTGTAAATAATCGAGTCTGGACCAGACAATTCGGTGACTGACACGATCATCGTTCTACCCAACTATTGTACGATGACCAGACAATCCAGTGATCAACAGCATGAGCATCGCTCTACGCAATTGGGATACAGTGACAAGATTGTGTCAACCAAGCCTGACCCCCCAATCTCATTATTTGCCTCTTACGACAAGCATGAGTTGCTGAAGATCAATTCTAACCCGTATCTTCACGGGTTGAAATACATATTGAGAATGGACTGACTGACTGACTGAGTTTAGTTTTACGCCGCTTTTAGCAATATTCCAGCAACATCACGGCGGGGGACACCAGAAATGGGCTTCACACATTGTGCCCATGTGGGGACTCGAACCCGGGTCTTCGGCGTGACGAGCCAACGCTTTAACCACTAGGCTACCCCACCGCCCCTTGAGAATGGAGCGGGAATGAGCAAACACCAATAAACGTTAAACAGGACCGTTGTTGGAGTGAGTGAGTGAGTTGGGTTTGACGCCGCTTTTAGCAAATGTTCAGCAATATTATGGCGGGGGGACACCAGATATATTGAACCAATGTGGGGAATCGAACCTGGGTCTTCAGCGTGACGATCGAATACCTTAACCACTAGACTACCACACCGCCCCACCGTTGTTGGAAGTAACTTTACCACAAGACAAGTGAGACAAGTCTAACGTCAATACCTGCACGAACACTGTGAAGAAGATGACGACGAGGGTGGCAGTTACAAACATGTCCTTCATCCCCGGGGGTAGGGCGTTCTCATCCAGCAGGGCGACGAGGGAGAAGCACACGGCTCCCCGCAGACCCCCGTAAGCCTGGACAACAGTTGTAGTTCATGAAAGCATGGTATCTGCCACAAAGACCTGGTTCACAGCTGTGTTAGTTATGATGCTTGCTACACTGTGAACGTTATAGCATGGTATCTGCCACAAAGACCTGGTTCACATGTTGTATGATGCTTCCTACACTGTGACGTTATAAAGCATGGTATCTGCCACAAAGGTGGAATTTAGTTATGATGCTTTACGAACGTTATAAAGCATGGTAACAAAGACCTGGTTCACCGCTGTGTTAGTTATGATGCTTGCTACACTGTGAACGTTATAAATCTAGATGTTGTACAGCTCTGACTGCGAGTGGGTGAATTTAGTTTTACGCCGCTTTTAGCAATATTCCAGCAGTATCACGGCGGGGGACACCAGAAATGGTCTTCACAGTTTGTACCCGTGTGGGGAATAGAACCCGGGTTTTCGGCGTGACGAGCGAACGCTTTAACCACAAGGCTACCCCACCGTCCCGACTCCGACTGTGAATTATTATACGATTTAATGACTCCGTAAATGTCGGCAATATTGTTTCTTTGGATTACACATTATTTAACGCCGCACACAATAATGTTTCAACTACATGACGGCAGTCTAAAACAGACATGAGTCTGGACCAGACAAGCCAGTGATTGACAAGTGATTGAGCATTGGCCTTTCAATCGTAGCGCTAAGGTGATCGTAACTCCCATACTTTAACATAGACCTACGACAGTCGTAGCGCTAAGGTGATCGTAACTCCCATACTTTAACATAGACCTACGACAGTCGTAGCGCTAAGGTGATCGTAACTCCCATACTTTAACATAGACTTACGACAGTCGTAGCGCTAAGGTGATCGTAACTCCCATACTTTAACATAGACTTACGACAGTCGTAGTGCTAAGGTGATCGTAACTCCCATACTTTAACATAGACTTACGACAGTCGTAGCGCTAAGGTGATCGTAACTCCCATACTTTAACATAGATTTACGACAGTCTTAGCGCTAAGGTGATCGTAACTCCCATACTTTAACATAGACAAATACGTTAACGACTGTCGTAGCGCTAAGGTGATCGTAGCTACGAAGCTCTCTGAGTTAAGATAGTCGTAAATTAATGTTAATGCATGTACGTTAACGACTGTCGTAGCGCTACGATCGCTTTGAGGAACGGGGCCCAGGTCAGCAAACCTGACCACACGATCACGTAAATCGCTTCTTACGACCAGAATGGTATGCAGATCCTGGCATCACTAAGGGACATAATCCTGCAAATAAATTTGCGGCTCCTCAGTCACCAGGGCAACCAGTGCTGTTGAAACCCAGTGGAATGCTGGAGCTTAATCTAGTGGGAAGCTCAATCATTATGTGTCACTGATTGTCACTCACTCGTGTGGGTTCTGTAGGTCTTCGTACAATCATGAACTCTGGAATCTGTAGCTTCTACGTACTCTCATGAATTCTGGGATCTGTAGCTTCTACGTACAATCATGAACTCAAACATATGTAGCTTCTACGTACAATCATGAACTCTGGGATCTGTAGCTTCTACGTACACTCATGAACTCTGGCATATGTAGCTTCTACGTACAATCATGAACTCTGGGATCTGTAGCTTCTAAGTACAATCATGAACTCTGGGATCTGTAGCTTCTACGTACAATCATGAACTCTGGTATCTGAAGCTTCTACTTACAATCATGAACTCTGGTATCTGTAGCTTCTACTTACAATCATGAACTCTGGGATCTGTAGTTTCTACTTACAATTATGAACTGTTCATCATAAGAGATCTCCCTGGTTCTGTCGCTGTCCAGTTTGTTGATCAGGAAGGACAAGAAGAACGTGACTGAAGAATACACAAAGACGACTGACTTACACAGTGTTTCTTTCTTTTCGCACATCCATTTGATTTGCATGTGTGTATGTGTGTGTGTGTGTGTGTGTTTGTTTTTGCAACAAACTATCCACCCCCAGCTATATTCAATGGGTAAAATTTCGAATGGAACAGTTTTGAATTTTATATATTCCAGTGTGTATGAGTGATTTAGTGGACACATTTCTTTAGGGATACAAGAATGCAACATCTAGTCAGTATCGGTCTTACATAAAGATATGAATGATTTGATTTCATGAAAATACAAATGTAACAATTATAACTAAAGGAACAGATATACTTTGAACTGCTGCCAATACACTATTCATTTGGTCACGTTTCTGAACAAACTGTTCATTTAAGAAAACTCCAGAATACACAAGGAAGCTGCCTTTGCCTTTAGACACACGCACCTAATCGTGGATAATGGTAAGATTGGACAGATATCAGTAGTGTTAATTATCAAATATTTCCACCAATGCAAAGATGGATCGGGAGAATCAGCTTCTCGCCTGGCTGTCACTTAAGGAACATGTCAGTGGCTTGCCACACATAATACCGGTAGAGAGGATTGGCATTACTGTAATCCCACTAACGGGTTTTGACGTTGGGTAGCTGTCGGTTTCTACTCACTGATGAACCTATACACGAAGCAGAAGAAGACGGTCCACAGGACGAAGCCAGTGTGCCACATGCGCTCGTTATTCCGGAACATCACCAATCCCAGGAAGAGGAAGATGATGATTTCGTTGGTGGTGCTGATGAAGAAAAAGACGCTCTGAGATACAAGAGTGAGTGAGTGAGTGAGTGAGTGAGTTGGGCTTGACACGGATTTGAACAGTATTCCGCTTTTGAAAAGCCGGGTCAGTTCAACCTTGGAGGAAGCCTGAAGTGATGCTGAACTCAGATGTTTATTTTACTTAAACCCAAGCATGATTCTGGTGCAGACAAACCTGGAAACATAATCGGGGTGAGTGGGGATTCGAACCCACAATCACAGATTTCAGCTGGACTATGTTACTTGCTGCCGTTAACTCGCATGGCATGAAGCTAACTTCGTTGATATTATTACTCACGGAACTGTTGAAATCCTTTATTCTTCTCCAAGTCTGTTTAAAAAAATCTTTTGCGGTTTGTATCATGTAAGACGGCCATGAAGGATGTATGTTGCATACAAATATTAATGTTTGTATGCATATTCACTAGTTAAACATGACGTTGTCCATGAAACATATTTAAAAGTATTATCCTCTATGCAACTCCGCAGATCTCTTACAAAATTTAGATGTGGCATCAGTAAACTGAATGCACAAACCTATAGAAGATCCAAAGATGATGATATCAGTTCTGCCATGTGCGCTCATTGCGTCAATATTGTCCAGGACGAGTACCATGTTCTATTACAATGTCCTGTTTTTTCTGATTTACGCATCAGGTATATACCACAATATTATTGTGTAAATCCCAACATACAGAAGTTTGTAAATTTACTTAATACCCAAAATGCAAATGTTATTTTACGCCTAGCCATATTTGTAAACAAAATCCATAACGTTTTATGATACTTATAAATGCCAGTGTACTTCTCATGCCAGCGCTCCAAAGAACATGATGTAAAAATGTCACTGTACTTTTGGCCTATGAATTATTAAACGCTGCCTATCGAATCCACCAAGAACTTTCAGGAGAATATGTAGACTCCCCAACACTGCAGCCTTCTGCATTACCCAGAAGATGTAGAAGGGCTGTGCACTCTTCTGATAAAACTCTACGAAATAAACCTGTCTCTCTGTCTGTCTGTCTGATATATGTTGCAAGTCAAAGGTAAGTGAAAAATAAATGAAAGCCTCGTGACGTATATTTGTCAAAAAGTACAACCGGTTATGTTTACGGACACGCACAGGCGTTTTCTTTTGTTTGACGTTTTACTTGGCCTATTCCAATAGTGGCTGCATGCACTTTCAGTTTACGCCTGTTTTTAACATATATCCGGTTATGCACAAGCGTTAGTTTACACAGGATTTATTATGCAACTTATCGCCATGGTGAATGGTGTCGCCGGTACAAATGATTACCCCAGATCTTAACTATTCCCAGGGGTAACGAGCGGTGAGGTAGCCTTGTGGTTAAAGCGTTCGCTCGTCACGCCGAAGACCCAGGTTTGATTTTCACATGGGTACAATGTGTTTGGCCCATTTCTGGTGTCCCCTGCTGTGATATTGCTGGAATACTGCTAAAAGCGGCGTAAAACACATTTCACTCTCAGGTGTAACACTAACACCTTAACACTATCTCAGGTTTCTGGCGAGCCCAAGGGACGCAAATCTATACGGCGACATGCTTTTCTCTGCACTGTTTTCCAGTCAGTGAGTGAGTATGGTTTTATGCCGCGTTTACCAGCATCACGGCGGGGGACACCGGAAATGGGCTTCACACATTGCACCCATGTGACAAATAGAACCCGGGTCTGACGCTTTAACAACTAGGCTGCCGCACCGACTCCGACTGTGAATTATTATGGGATTCGCACTCAGGTCTTCGGCATGAGACAGAGCGCTCATGGTGGTCAGGACACCCTGCTAACATTCTTCTTACACCGAGTTGTTTACTGTATTTAGGATAGCCGGGAATTTATTTGTTTTATCCATTTTGTTATCTACCAGAGTCCGGATAAACGGGGTTCTGTGCGTTACAGACTTTAAAGTTCCGAACCTGATGACTTTGGTGAAATACATGATGGTCGTCCTGGACTTTTCGCTGATGTTGTGGAAGGAGTACTGGACCTGGACGAGGCCGCAGCCGATGATGCTGATGATGCCGGAGAACTCAAACAGCTCCGCCAGGAGGAAGCCGAGGTACGCCATTGTGTACACGATAAGAGGCTGGGCGACTGAAACAGCATCAAGTGAGTGAGTGAGTGAGTGAGTGAGTGTGGGTTGGTGGGTTGGGGTGTTGATGTTGGGTTGGAGGTCACGAGTCAGGTCACAATCAGTTAAGCAACATTGGACGCAGAGAGTCTATGAGCATACCTAATGTGGAGTTTGGCGCTACATAAATGGATACATTATGTTTTACCGATTAAAAATAATATGCAGCAGAGAGGGTTCGGGTGATCATGCCCTTGCCCCCTCTACACGTAGCCCAGCCAGCGAATGGGACTTCTCCCGTGAAACGCTGCCTATCGAATCCACCAAGAACTTTCAGGAGGATATGTAGACTCCCCAATACTGCAGCCTTCTGCATTACCCAGAGATGTAGAAGGGCTGTGCTAACGGTGGAGAACCCAGGCACTCTTCTGATCTGCGCCAAGTTACCAGGAGGTACCAAACCAAGGGCACCGAGAACAATGGAGTGCCTGACGACAGTGTACTTGGGAAGCAAGCAAGACATTTCAAAGGCAAGGTCCACATATTTATCACGCTTTTTCTGAATCTTGCCAATCACATTGCTGTCAAAAGGGACCGAAACTTCAAGAACATAAATGAATTACTGGATTTATAAAAAAGGACAAGATCAGGTTTGTTGGCAGGAATTCTTCTGATACTGTATATGGGCCTATTCCAAAGACGTTTAAAAGCATCATTTTCCATGACGCCCTGGAAATGAGCAGGGTCGTACCATGGGGCTCGTACAATGGATCGACCTCGGAGTCAAAGCCACAGGCATGGCGAAGACGGTAGGAGAAGTAACGAGCCATACCATCATATCGTTTAAGATATGTGCCATCTACTGACAAGGTGTGGAGAAGTCTCTGGAAATTCATTGCAAAGTCGACATTTCATGTTAATATTTTCTTTAAAAATCACATTTAGGCGATTGCGAGTGAGAAGTGACTGGTCTTTGGCAGCGAAAGCAAAGCTTTTATTTCCACATTTAAGACCAGGCGAAGGAGTCGGATGGATTACTATTCTGTTCCACACACTGCATGTATTCACGATGCAATGGTTTCTCAGAAAACGTCCCCACAAGTGATCGACTCTATGCAGACTGGGTGAAGAACTTCACCTGGTTTACTCCCATCGCTGTACCGTCCAGCAGTACGATGCCATCAACAAACTCAACCTCAAATTTCCGATTTTGTCCAACAACCTTGGCAGGATCAAAATAGCTGTGGAAATGCATCACCAGAGGATTATCCGATGAATAAATATGTGCAAAAGTCCACAATAGACTTCTACCATGAAGAGCCTCCACACTAATAAACCCCCGACCTCCGAAATCAATTGGCATGTATAGAACGATTTAGAGAGGAACGAGGGTGGTGCGCTCTGTTATCAGACATGATCCTTCTGGTCAGATGGTCAAGACTCTGGATGTCTTGTTTTGTCCAATCAACTACTCCAAAGGAACAGGAAAGGACTGGCACAGCAAAAGTATTGGTGGCTTTGACCTTGCTTCGAGCATTTAACTCAGAGCTCCAGATTTTCTTTAAGCGAGTTGTATACTCGGCCCGATGTTTGTCTTGAATCTGGGCATTCTGGAGCTCGTCTCGAACTTGAGTCACGATAGGTGTAGACCCGATCTTCTACAAGTTGCTCAATAACTCCCCCTTGTAACTTGACCGGCCCATCATTAATTATCTTGCCACGTTGCAAATGAAGAGTATTACATTTGTCGAATCCAACTGTTATGCCAATATCATTAGAAAAAAACTCGACAAGGAGAACCTGCCCTTTCAAATCTTTGGTATCTCTTTTGGTAAGGAGCTCGATGTCATCCCCATAAAAGAGATGAGTAAGCGGTTTTGGGGATCTGTGCTGTGGAGGTCCGGGTTGGTAACCCTTCTCTTTATTGAGTAGAAAGCTCAAAGGGTTTATAGACAAACAAAAAAGCAAAGGACTAAAAGCAATACCTTATAAAACTGTCAATCTCTTTATTAGAGAACAAGTAATACCATGACGTGTCAACATATTTCTGAGAAAATCGCAAAGGGACAGCGGGTGATGGTGTTAAACAGCCCAGACCTGGCGCTGAGAAGGTAAGGATCATAACTGCAACTCGAACCAGGAAGCCTGGCAAGAATACGAGACGGTGTGAACGATCTCTTCTCGTCTCAGCCTATCAGTCTTAGCACATTCTGCAATCGAAAACTCCCAATCTGCTTCAGTCGTAAAGAAAGGAGAATGGCAGATGGTTATAAAAGTTTAAAATAAGGCAAACGGAACCAATAATATTTTCAAATGGGATTCTGGGAAAAATATGTGTTTAAGAAAGCAATTGGTAGTACCCAAAATACTTTTCAGAAGCCATTACTGTTTGTTGATTGATGTTGAGCAATATTCCAACTATATGGTGGCTGTCTGTACATAATCGATCCTGGACCAAACGATCCAGTGATTAACATCATGAACATCGATGTACGCAATTGGGATCCCGTAAGATGACTCTTACGACAAGCATGGGCTGCTGAAGATGAATTCTAACGCGGATCTTTACGGGTACACATCACCAATAGAACACCGCCATAGCCTGTTCCACTATACGATCGCTGCTGCTGAGAAGATCGCAAGTGCCGTGCTCTAACACCTACTTGTGTACATTGATTTGTGAAAAGTTGCATTGGTCATTACTCGTGGGGTTGCTACTTACTTTTCACCTTCCTGGTGCATTTCGTCAAGAGTGCTGTCACGATCCCTGCGAGAACACCGAGCGCTAGGCCACCGAAACACACCACAAAGAACTTCAGGATACCGAGTCCAATCTGTGGGGAGAACGTAAGTGTCAGATTATGTCATGTATGTGTCCATTAAACAGTTATTCATACTTACATTCAGAACAGATTGTGATGACAAGAAGTGTATCTGTGTATATGTAGTAAATTAACATAATACATGACATCACTGGTGAACAGACCATGTCCTGATTCAGCTGTAACCTGTTCACCGTCCACACCTTGACCTGATGAAGTGAGTTTGTTGTATGTGTGCATAACCTGATTCAGCTGTAGTCTTACCTGTTTACCGTCCACACCTTGACCTGATAAAGTGAGTTTGTTGTATGTCTGCATGAACCTGATTCAGCTGATAAAGTGAGCTGTAGTCGTCCACACCTGTTTACCGTCCACACCTTGACCTGATGAAGTGAGTTTGTTGTATGTCTGCATAGACCTGATTCAGCTGTAGTCTTACCTGTTTACCGTCCACACCTTGACCTGATAAAGTGAGGTCGTTGTATGTCTGCACGACCTGATTCAGCTGTAGTCTTACCTGTTCACCGTCCACACCTTGACCTGATAAAGTGAGTTTGTTGTATGTCTGCATGACCTGATTCAGCTGTAGTCTTACCTGTTTACCGTCCACACCTTGACCTGATAAAGTGAGTTTGTTGTATGTCTGCATGACCTGATTCAGTTCGTTGTATGTCTGTAGTCTTACCTGTTTACCGTCCACACCTTGACCTGATAAAGTGAGTTCGTTGTATGTCTGCATGACCTGATTCAGCTGTAGTCTTACCTGTTACCGTCCACACCTTGACCTGATGAAGAGTTTGTTGTATGTCTGCACACCTGACCTGAGTCTTACCTGTTTACCGTCCACACCTTGACCACAGTTTCACGTCTGCATGATGATACAGGACCAAAGACGTCTACAGACATTACTTTATACTGAACTATTCCATTATATATTAACATCAGTGAAAGGATCCTGTGAATTTAGATACAACTTTGAAAATATCAAAATGAAAGTGAAAAGAACCTCTTTAAGCGAATAATGTACAACACGAGAGAGGTATTGACCACGTGATTCCGGTGGTCACTTTCTGAAGTTGTATATTTAGCATTTATGTTCACTCACTCGTGAGTATATCAAATCTGCCTACAGACAATAGATAAAACAAGGGGTAGAACAGAACCTTGACGTGGACTTACCGTTGAGCAGAGATTCTCCGAAAACCATGAAGTACAAAACATTGTTGACGCCTATTTCCTGGAACACAGCTAGAACCTGAAACACAAGCAGTTTCATGTCTGTTTCAACAATTTAACTGAAGTTATGAAGTGAGTGAGTTTGGTTTTAACCTACTGTTAGCAATATTGCAGCATTATCACGGCGGAAAATAGGAAATAGGCCTTACACATTGCACCCGTGTGGAGAATGGAACCGTAGTCTTCGGCGATACGGGCGAACGCTTTAACCACTAGGCTATCATATTGTACTTCCATTTTGTTACGTTCACTTCTTAATTTTAGTCGGGTTGAAAGAATTAGTTCGATTATGTGAGTACATTAACGAACATATTTTTGTGGAACAATCATCAGTCAAAACCAAACTTCGTAATAGAGAACAACGTTTGTTTGGACATAATATCAAATAGAACTCTAGCGTTTTCAATATGGCTGCCGCAGATGCCATGTTGTGTTGAGATCAGTATTGGTAATCATTGACATCGTGAGAAGGTGACATAAATCACGTAATGACAACTTCCACCTACCGCCACAGGGTCGACAGCGACGATGAGTGCGGCAAAGATGAGGATCTGCGTGAGTGTTATCGGGAAGGGGAAAACCCCCATCGCCCCGCTCATGGCTAGACCCCACAGAGTGAGACCTGCAAGCATAAGCGGAGTTTAGGAATCAGAGTGAATGAGTATTGTTTTATGCCGCTTTGGTAAATTTCCAGCAACATCAGCTTTAGAGATACCATAAAATATTCTTTGTCGGGAATCGAATCTAGGTATGACAAGATAAGGCCCAACAGTTCAGAGATTTTCACGATATGAGGGTGAAGGGCATGCAGTGCTTATCCAGTGGCGAGATCATACAGAATGGGTCTTAATTGTTAAGATACTATTTTTTCAAGGGTAGGTGATTTTAAACATCATTAAAGAATGACCTCAGTGGAGTACTTATATTGTTCGTCGTTTAGAATAGATCCAAAAGATTTCACTAGCTAATTCATATTTCTTTTAACACCGAATTCAGCAGTATCCAAAGGATTTGACGGCGGTCTGTAAATAAACTATAGTCTGGACCAGACAATTCGGTGACTTGCATCACGATCATCGTTCTACGCTATTGGAATTGTCAACCGAGTCAGTGAGCCTGACCACCCGATCTTGTTAGTTGCCTCTTAGCATGGGTTTCCGAAGGTTAATTCTAACCCGGATCTTCCCGGATACCTGATAATCGTGTACGCTAATGTTGCATCTCTGAATTGTCGACTTGTTCAGGAAGAAACACATCAAATTTCTGAACAAGCACTGAAAGTAAATTCCACCAAAACATTACGGAAACAAGATGTTTTCTGTGGCACGTTTATAAAATTACTCACCCAGTGCAAAGAAGGCCAATATGGTTCCCTGAAACCAAAGTGAGTGAGTGAGTGAGTGAGTCTTACGTCAGAATAATATATGTGTCTTGTCATCAGTTATCAGTACCGTAACATAACCCTCGCTGGATACGATGACGCATTGCTTTGTCCCTTTTTGTGATCCATAATTACAGTTCTTGTCAAAGTCACGCACTATCATAGTCTTATGATGTCTTATCCTTGTCTGAGTCGCAGTTTAGGTAATGCAAAAGGCGAGTGAGTGAGTGAGTTTAGTTTTACGCCGCTTTTAGCAATATTCCAGCAATATCACGGCGGGGACACCAGAAATGGGCTTTACACATTGTAGCCATGTGGGGAATCGAACCCGGGTCTTCGGCGTGACGAGAGAACGTATAGCAAAGGGTACTGATATGGCACTGAGAACATCCAGTAGTTACTATACAAATGACACAGAGCGTACCAAGTATTGACTAAACGTATGACTTGAAGAAAAGCAAACTGGATTAAAATGACAGAGTTTAAAGTACGAACTATGACTAAGTGTGAGTGAGTTTAGTTTTACGCCGCATTCAGCAATATCACAGGTACTAGTATATGGCGGCGGTCTGTAAATAATCGAGTCTGGACCAGACAATCCAGTGATCAACAACATGATTTACGCAATTGGGATACGATGACATGTGTCAACCAAGTCAGCGAGCCTGACCACCCGATCCCCTTAGTCGCCTCTTACGACAAGCATGGATTACTGAAGATCAATTTCAACCCGGATCTTCATGGGTACGTATGACTAAGTGAATACCAGGTAACACCACACAGTATCTATACATGAAAGATGAAGAAAAGCTAATTGGATTATAATGATGAAGAGTAGTATCCAGTATTAATTATATGTATGACTTTAAGAAAAGCAAACGTAATTGAAATAATAGTATTACACTAATCGACACAGAGTAGAAGTGAGTGAGTGAGTTTAGTTTTACGCCTGGACCAGTATGGACCAGGCAATGCAGTGATCAACAGCATGAGCATCGATCTACGCAATTGGGAACCGATGACATGTGTCAACCAAGTCAGCGAGCCTGACCACCCGATCCCGACACAGAGTAGAAAGTGTTGACTATACGTATGACTTTAAGTAATCCACATGTTACTGAAATGGTACAGGGAATGTCACGTGCGATGCGTGTGAAAACACGTAATGTAGAATTTGATCAGATGTCCCTGTAGAACTTTGAAGAACTCACAACTACAGCAAACAGGAGGACAGATCCGATGTTGTCAGCAAACGTCCTGTCATGGAGGCTGTAGGCCGCTTCCAGGATGATCCTGAAATACGTGTTGGAAATGACGTCATAACTGACCATCCTTAATACAATGTGTAAGTTGTCTTGTTGGTCTATAGTGAGTTGTGCTCAACTTGACTGAGCGGTATTAGTCCGTGGTAAGTTGAATTCGTGTGTTGTATTAAGTTGAATTCGTGTGTTGTATTCAGTTGAATTCGTGTGTTGTATTCAGTTGAATTCGTGTGTTGTATTCAGTTGAATTCGTGTGTTGTATTAAGTTGAATTCGTGTGTTGTATTCAGTTGAATTCGTGTGTTGTATTAAGTTGAATTCGTGTGTTGTATTCAGTTGAATTCGTGTGTTGTATTAAGTTGAATTCGTGTGTTGTATTAAGTTGTTGAGTTGAATTCGTGTGTTGTATTAAGTTGAATTCGTGTGTTGTATTAAGTTGAATTCGTGTGTTGTATTAAGTTGAATTCGTGTGTTGTATTAAGTTGAATTCGTGTGTTGTATTGAGCAGTATTGTGTGTTGTGGTCTGAGCGATACTGTGGTTGGTTGGTTGGTTGGTTGGTTTGTTGTTTAACGCCGCACTCCAGCTATATGATGGCGGTCTGTAAACAGTCGAGTTTCGACCAGACAATCCAGTGATCACCAACACGAGCATCGATCTACGCAATTGGGAACCGATGACATGTGTCAACCAAGTCAGCGAGTCTGACCACCCGGTCCCGTTACTCGCCTCTTACGACAAGCATGGGTTACTGAAGATAAATTCTAACACTGATCTTCAGGGGTAAGTCGCCTCTTACTACAAGCATGGGTTGCTGAAGATCAATTCTAACCCGGATCTTCACGGGTATACTGTACGTAGTAGGCTGTTAGTATTGTTGTCTGTTGTTTGGTGCAGACTAAAGTATTTGTCTTAGCGTATCGTGCTGTATTGGTTTGTACTGAGCTGAAATGTGCTGTAATGTGCTGTATTCGCCCGCGGTGTGCTTTACTCACCTGTTGTCTACAGTGTTCTTCTGCAGGGTACAATACCGTGAACAGTTGTTAGTGAGTGAGTGAGTTGGGTTTTACGCCGCTTTTAGCAATATTCCAGCAACATCACGGCGGGGACACCAGAAAAGGGCTTCACACTGAGCAGTTGTGAGTGAGTGAGTTAAAATTTAGCATCGACATTATTCCAGCCACGTGGCGACGACTGAGCAGTAGTAGTTAACTTCTGGGATCTGTTTTGAGTTGTAAGGTGTTTTTTAAGTTTGGAAACTCTACTCAATATATTTGATGACATTTGGACAACTGGAAACTTTCCTCCTTCGTGGCACAATGCCATTATCATCCCTATACCAAAGCCTGGCCGGGATCATACAGATCCGACAAACTACCGTCCTATATCACTGACTAGCCGTGTTTGTAAAACCATGGAGGGCATGGTCAACAATCGATTAATCTGGTACTTGGAGACCAATAACCTCCTTAGTGACCTCCAATGTGGTTTCCGAAAGAACCGAATTACCATTGACCATCTGGTGCGTCTGGAATCGTTCATAAAAAATTCCATTGTCAACAAACAACATACTGTATCTATCTTTTTCGACTTAGAAAAAGCATACGATACAACGTGGAAACATGGTATCTTAAAGGATTTACATGAATTTGGATTGAGGGGCAGATTACCTCAGTTCATATCTCAGTTTCTAAACAACAGACAATTTCAAGTACGGGTGGGTTCCACATTGTCTGATTATTTCCACCAAGATCAGGGCGTCCCTCAAGGCAGCATCCTGTCTGTCACACTTTTTAGCATCAAAATTAACAGCCTCACTAACGTCTTGAACAGTTGTGTTGATGGGTCCCTTTTCATGGACGATTTCAATAGTTCATGTCGTGGTAAGAACATGCACACAATAGAAAGGCAGCTACAACTCTGCCTTAACAAAATCCGAAAATGGGCCAATGAAAATGGCTTTAAGTTTTCAAAATCCAAAACAAATTGTATTCACGTTTGTCGTAAATACAAACCACACAAGGATCCAGACCTATCTTTAGATGGTACTCCCATCAAGGTAGTAGAAGAGGCCAAATTCCTGGGACTCATATTCGATCGTCACTTGACATTCTTACCACACATACAATATTTGAAAACAAAGTGCTTGAAGGCTTGACTTGCTAAAAGTCGTTTCAAATACAGAGTGGGGAGAGGATCAAACTACCCTCCTTCACTTGTACAGATCTTTGGTTCGCTCTAAACTGGACTACGGCTCCATTGTCTATGGTGGAGCCTGCAAAAGCAATTTAGAAAAATTAGATTCTATCCACCACCAAGGCCTGAGGCTCTGCCTGGGAGCTTTTAGGACCTCTCCGGTAGACAGTCTATAGGCAGAGGCTTACGAACCTTGCTTCCCTTGAACAACGCCGCATAAAACTTTCACTGCAGTATATCACTAAATTACGTTCAAATCATTTGAATCCAGCATACAATTGTATTTTCAACCCTCTCTATGAAAACTTGTTTCCTAACCTGCCAAGCCTGGTTCCACCACTCGGAATCAGAATTCAACCACACATATCTGCAGCTAAAATTGATCTCAATAGCATAGCACCTTACCGACTCCTGTCTTCACCACCCTGGCAGATGGTGAAACCACAGGTCGATCTTACCCTCACTAAACTCAAAAAGTCAGAAACAAATACTTTGGTGTTCCAACAGGAATACAACCAGTTACGTTCCAAGTATAACACCCATAGATCCATTTTCGCAGACGGATCCAAGGAAGATGGCAAAGTTGCCAGTGATACAGTCATTGGATCCAAGACTGTCTCTTCCAGAATTCCCGACAATAGTTCCATTTTCACTGCTGAGGCCAAAGCTATCTTCACAGCTTTGTCCTATATTAAACAACAGAATCATTCCAAAAACTTCATCGTTTTTACAGATTCACTATCTTGCCTTCAAGCACTTCAAAATGTTACTTCAAGTCACCCTATCATCCTGGACATTTTAGAACTTTACAACGATCTTTCTACTGGCCAATGTGACATCGTCCCCTGCTGGTTGCCGGTTCACATCGGCATAGCAGGTAACACAAAAGCCGATGCTTCAGCCAAAGCAGCTCTTGACAAGCCCTTATTCCCACTGCTAATCCCGTATAGTGATTTCAAACCCACTATCAAAAGCTATACTTGGGACCTTACGCCAAAAAGGTGGGACACCCAAGTAGGAAGAAATAAACTGTATGAATTGAAGACAACTATTCGTTATACTTACTTGGGTTGTCAGTCAAGACGTGAAGAGGTAGTTTAACGGCGATGTCGTATTGGCCACAGTCGCTATACACATGACTATCTGCTGAAAACGGATGTGGATGGACCCCCTATGTGTGTCTCTTGCGATGGGGTGTTCACCATCAAGCATATATGGTGGATACCAAAGAAAAGTGTACACAGCATGTTTGGGCCCATAACAATTTAACATTACTATCTTCACTTCTTTCGGGGTGCCCATCACATCGGCACAAGTCAGACGATACGACTATATATAAGACGACTATTTTTAATTAAACATTAAGCTTATGGGAAACAAAAACAGGTCATTTTAATTCATTTTGACTTATATTTACAAATGTTTTGTTGAAAACATGTTGTGTGTTAAATACTACTCAAACTGGATGAACAGAAGTTTATTAATCTGATTGCCAAACATTTCGTGAATAAATCCCCTGAAATGATTTTGTCTAGGGCTTAATTCGTAATTTTGGTAATTTGTTTTCAAGTGGTACTTTTTGCGTTACCTTACTCTGTCAATTTATGTAAATGCAACACAAGGTTATTTTTTATTACTTTTTACAGAATTAATATGTAAAGTACTCAAATGCAATGGCGTTACATAATATTTCTTACAAGTAATAATCTAAAAAAATGTTAGAAAATCAAGGTCTGATTTGGTAAAAAAAATCACGTTACCTACAAATACCATTAAATATGTTGCTGTTTCCACAGATGAACACATTAGTGAATGATATCCTAAGTTCAAGTGCAAAGGGCCACAAGGTATACGTGTGCCACATCTGAACATTTTCTGTGCTGTTTTTACGAAGATATCACACATAAAAAACCTGTAGGTGAATTTTAACTCCCGTGACATGTGTTCGATTTAGAAGTCATCATAGATGAGACCAGACAATATCTTGGTGATTAGTAAGTGTATTTTACATTTTCTTAAGAATGTCATATAAATAAACCCATGTCACAATAACATAGGATGCATATGACACCTGTTACAACTAACCAACTGTAATTTAAGTGAGGTTTTAAGTCTTATTATTGTAACAAAAAGCCTCAGACTACAAGTGGAATTGACATAGGGGCTCAAATTGGTAAGACATGGTGTCCCGCTGGGATTTCCCCGGTTGTGGCTCACGGTATTTGTACGTAACATGTATTCGTTGTTAACAAAATGAAATAGAGAACACTACAACATAATTTATACTGAAGACAATTATTGCAGATCATAAGTAAACTGATTAGGTACGCAGTACTGCATATTAATAGATTGAAATGGTTCCTTGGAATTTCAAATGGCTACATAACTGAGCGTTCAATAAAAATGTTCTATTCAGGGATGCACTGCAGTTCGTGGTTTAGACTTTATTATAGTGATATAATAAATTCTTTTTGATTGAAATGTCAGAAAACAAGTTGATCTTGGTGATAAAAGTAAAAGTTTGCATGATATCACGCGATCGACGGTTGATTCGTTGGTAACATGTGTATTCGTTGGTAACATTCCGTATTTGTAGGTAACATCAGTCAGTGTGTTTGAAGTTTTAAGTCTTGTTCAGGGCTGTCACCGATGCACTTGCGAACATAGGATAATTGAGACTGTAGTAGAAGTTAGTTTCATGGGTTTAGTAATAAGGTTTGTCAAAGGTATGTCGTATTCGTAGGTAGCTCGTTTTTGTAGTTGAAACTTTCTGTAAATGTCTATCTTATAGAAATTGTCATTTCAAAATATGGGTAATTAAAGCAGAGTTATAGTTCAGTAAGACGCATAATGTATTGATTGTTTTAGTGACATGTTTATCTGTACATAATGGTATATGGTATACGGTAATAGTTCAAGCGTTTTAAACATTTGTGATGTGCTTTCTTTGAATACAAATGTCAGTTGAAACATTAGGTAAATAAAATTTCAGGTGTATTGATTTTAGTTCAATTTGTATACTTCTCATCAAAAGTTTAGACTCACTAGTGTAAATATAGCCACTTACTTCAGGCGACTGTTTTAAACTAAATTTTGCAAAATATTCCAAACTGTTTAAAGGAACTGTTTGCACATGGACTGATGTATTGTAAAACAAATTTGTAACGTTGAAAACATTATTGTCATGAGTTCAATAAATGATAAAAATCAGTGAAACTTGGCGAATTCTGAACAAAACGTTACACCAACATGCAGCTTTTCACATGTACGATATTTGCACATGCATTTCAGCAATTTGATGCATGATCCTCATGCAATTCATCTGCATGAGGTTTGCACACATAAATGCACACACACATATAGTGAGTGTTTCTAGTGAGTCTAAACTGTTGATGAGAAGTATATTTCCATCAGTTAAAATGACATTGCTACTTTCCGACATACACTGAGACAAACAAAGAGAAAGCCTTAAACCGGTTGTAAACAATCTGTATTCACATGTCCTATGCACTTAGATAAACAATTTCCAAACTGTTCGATGTTTTAATAAACCAGCTATGATTTAGTTTGACATATATAAACATTTATGAAATACAGGGAATTGTGTGATATGTGTTACCTACATGTACATTGTTTTTATTTTCCACCTAAAATTTAGTTTTTGATGCATTTTCAAATTTGTTGTACTTATCGAAAGTTCCACCCGTTGTCTCCCAGGTGAATAAGATAGATATGTAACAATGATTCGTTTGTGAAAAGAACACTAAGTGGTGCTACATCAAACAAAGGTACCAAAATGGTTCTATTTTCGTAAAGCTTGAGGTTATAAAACATGAAAGAAACCATGATATGGCTTCAGAGTTTCTATAGTCATTAACATATTGTGCATGCAGAACAACAGTGAAGTTGGATGTTAGGCAACATACAATCCATCTAATCACAGGATATACAAGGTATGATGTTGGTATTTGTAGTCAATTCAGAAAATGAGCCTTCAACTTCACTGATCCACCAACTTGTCACTTTTAGAGATTAGTGATGGCAACTGATTTTCATAAGAGGCAAATATGTTGACTTTACATTGGTAAAAAGAATTACAAGGTGCAAGCAATTCTATTGTGGACCCCTTGTACCTAGCGGTGTACACTGTTCGTTGGAATCGACCATATACTGCTTGACTGTGTGGACTTTTCGACTGCAAGGGACTTGCATTATGAAGTGACAAATCTGAAAGACCTGTTTTCCCGCGTGAGCGAGCATCTTATAGTCAGCTACCTGAGGGAAGCTGACCTGTACAACTAATTGTAGCTACGTAATGTGAATAATGGATTGCCTGCTTTTGAATTTGGAGTTTTGAATTTCTGTTTTTCAAATAATAATGTAATGAATATATACGTTTTCAAAATAAAACTCATTTGTACTTTGTACTTAAAATGTGTATGAAATCAGACTTGATCTCGTCACTATATGGATGAAATAATTCCGATGTGACGTAAAGCCCAACTCAACTCAACTCTAGCGTGCTTTAATGATTTGTATTGTTCTGTTCAAGTCAATGTTCGTCTCTAGTTGTGTTGGTAGTGAAGTGAGTGAGTAAGTGTGGTTTTACGCCGCTCTTAGCAGCATTCCAGCAATATTACGACGGAGGACACCAGAAATGAGCTTGACACATTGTACGCATTTCGAGAATCGAACCCGGGTCTTCGGCGTGACGAGTGAACGCTTTAACCACTAGGCTACCCCGCAGTCCCCTGTAGTGAAGTGTAGAGGTCTACATGTATGGGATCGTCAATGTGATGTTGTAAGGGTAGTCACCAGTGTGACTATGAATGAGTGAATGATCATGGTTTTACGTCGCTCTTAGCAATATTCCAGCAATATTACGACGGAGGACACCAGAAGTGAGCTTCACACATTGTACCCATTTCGTGAATGGAACCCGGGTCTTAGGCGTCATGAGGGAAGGCTTTAACCTCTGTGCCACACCATCGCCCCTGATGGTGTGTGGTCTTTCGAAACGCGTTTGAAATGTGTTTTCGATTTTAATGTGCTTTCATTACCTCGGCTGTGATAAAGAAGATTTACCGTCGGAACCCCACCATTAATGAATCCCCATTGCGTCACAAAACTCACCTGAATTACAATTTACTAGTTAAATCCACGTTTTTTAAATGATGACTTGACAACTAGTCTCATAATAACGAACTTATTGCCTACCTCTATAGTGACAGTATAACGCAGCATGGAGGAAGAATTACTCGTGTAGGAGGAAGGCACTCACGGAGGAAGAAGATATTCATGGACGAAGACGTTACTCACGGAGGAAGAATATATTCATGGACGAAGACGTTACTCACGGAGGAAGAAGATACTAGTGGAGCAAGAATGTTCTCACTCAGGAAGAAGATACTCATGAACGAAGAGGGTACCCACGGAGGAAGAAGATATTCATGGACGAAGACGGCACTCACAGAGGAAGAAGATACTAGCAAAGGAACAATGTGCTCACGGAGGAAGACGATATTAACGCTGGAAGAGTATATTCACGAGGAAGTAGGTAATCACGGATTAAGGCGATCATCAGGGAGGAATAGATTCTAATGGAGGAAGAAAGTTCTCACGTAGGAAGAAGATATTCACGGAGAAGACAATACTCACGGAGGAAGAAGGAACTGAAAGAAATCATGGGGGGAGAAGAAGTCTGGAATGTAGTTAGCACCTCCGGAATATCTGAAATAAGTTGGCATGAAATCAATTATATTAATCTAAACGTCAGTTGACAAATCTGTCATATAATGCATAAGGTTCTAGTTTGACTCATTGTATCATGCAATCGTTAATACATGTTCCAGTATCGAAGTGCACTTACATGTACTTGTACCAGCCAGCCTAAACAGTGGGGAATACACGGCTGCAATATAATATTCATTTCCCGAACACTCGGACATATATACCTGCTAAAACAGTCTTGGACACGTGACAATCTGCCTCATATAACCGGTAAAATTGTTTACTTTCGCCATTACATCAAAGGATATGTCTAATTTCAGTTAGTCACTGAACAACCTGTCTTCAGAAAGGCGTTTAAATTTATTGATTGCGCCAAAGCCGTCTGTTTGAAGGCTATGCGAATTCCTCAAGACTTAGTGTATTCTTAATGTAATTTCAATGCACAGCCTGTGTATTATATCTGCAATCGCTATATTGTACCTATACACCGCTGTGGAATTTAATGGAAGATAATTATATCCGAGAACTATGATTGAGCCAGCGCGTTTTGATCTAACGAGCCTCCTCAAGTCAGATATATACTATTAGATAGATAGATATTATTAGTTACACGGTGTTTTGAAAGGGTGTGCCTGGAGTGTAAGATCCTTGTAAATTCCGTATTTCCTTACAGTCCGTTGTAAATTCCGTATTTTCCGTAAAATAAGGAATTTACAAGGGTCTTACTGTCCCGTACACCCTTTCAAAACACCGTGTAACGGATTGATTACCCTTAAGATTTCTTTATTCAGCTTATCTTTAAAAACCAACATTCGAAAACAATAACAAACAGACAACAGTCACGGTCATAAAGGGAGACAACTCCGGATGGCTAAGTTTATGATAAAATGGTCGAATTTGAGATTTTTTGACAAGTGAAATAGAGAAACATTTTAATTTTTTATATTATTATTAACACAAACAAACAAGAAATTATGGCAACAATTTTATTACTCTGTTTATACTCACAATTGTATATGCCAACTCTAAATTACGAAGCGGCCAGCTGTTTGGCGGCCACATTCCATCTAAGGTCAAGGTCATTTGTACAACCAGTGTAGTGTGTCACGGGACAGATTTGACGGAGTGTACGGTTCGTACACCCTGGCAAATCCGCCTACATGGTTTCGTAAATGCGTGGGCTATTGGCAAATCAGAATTCCATAAATTTATCTTAAAGGCACTATTTCCCGCACACTTCTCTAAAAAATAAATAATGCATTTCTCTCAACAATACTAACTATCAACCCTCAGGGAAGCTACCGTATAATTTATTCACCCCAAACTACGTATTCAGATTACAATATTAAATTAAAAAGTTCGAATCAGTTAATGCAACTTTGCATTAAATCCCCTCTCGCACACTCTACCGGCCATACATTATTTCAAGCGAACTCCATAGAGTTATGTCCCTTGCAGCGCCCTTTACGAATATCCTATCACTCCTTTGGAGACAAAACTCAGTCCTGGATCTTACGTCCACCTCTCCCCATCCTTACATCTTATCCTCTAGAACATGAACTTGGTTCCTGTTGTCACAAACTGCATGGGAAGTCTGTCTTCCACATGCACTAGGCTGTTGTGTTTGGGCGTTTGAATCAAACACGGTGTTGGTGTGTTTCAGCACCCTTGTTTTTCGCTGTTTTTGACAATTTTATTGTTTTTTCATTTCACTCAAACTCAACGAATATTGAATCAGTTGCTTCACTGCATGTTCCAACATGTCGTTTAAAGTGCCCATTACGGACACAAAAAGTTACATTTACCTTAGAGAATAAAAGGACTCACTACGCTTAAGTTTTATATATATGACTATCAAATTTTAGGGTGTTCCCATATATTTTGTTTGTAGTATAATATAGGCCAAAATATTGTCGAAAATGTGTGAAATTGTGCCTTTAAGGATAATAACGGCCAGTACAATAAACTACAAGTGGTCTGAACAAAAAGGAAAAACAGTTCGTTATATCCGCCATTGCGTTACAAGGGTGTTCGTTATAGACGGAATTTACTGTATAGTAAGTCAAGCGTGTCTTGGTTTTGAACTCTAATTGAGTCGCTGGGACCTGAAGGAATGACTATAGCAGCACGGCATACTCACTCAAGAATCGCCCCGAATATCTGGCCCAGGATGATCAGCAGGCTGAAAAAAGAAACGGATTTGTGTATCCTGTGACTGTTTGTGTTTGAGGAAGTGACGTAATCTATAACGAACTAGTCAATTTGAGCGCAGATTCAGACGGTCGAGTAGTGAGTGAGTGAGTGAGTTTGGTTTGACGTCGTTTTGAATAGTATCTGAAATGTAACATGGCGTGTAATGCTGATTCGGGAGGAATGAGATAGAATTATCCGTCACATTGGCAATATCCCAGCCATATCATGAGTACTGATCTGGGAATAAAGTGGAGCAGGTCTTTGATTAAGTTCAGAAGTATGGAGCAGACAAACATAGAGACGTCATCATGGTGAATCGGCAACCGAAACAACGGAGGATCCTGGTACGGATAAGGGACACAACTCTTCCCAGTGGAAGCTGGGCCATGTTATAAATTGACGGGTTGTGACATGACCAAACAAACATAAATACAAACTATTTATACTCACCATGACTCCGGAATCCTTGACGAGAGGAAATGTGCGTGGTGAAAAGCTGAAACAAGATATTTATTGTTTGGCGATATCAAACGGGAATCTGAATGGTGAAAAGCTGCAACAAGATATTACGGAAATGTGCATGGTGAAAAGCTGCAACAAGATATTTATTGTTTGGCGATATCAAACGGGAATCTGAATAGTGAAAAGCTGCAACAAGATATTACGGAAATGTGCATGGTGAAAAGCTGCAACAAGATATTTATTGTTAGGCGATATCAAACGGAAATGTCAATGGTGAAAAGCTACAACAAGATATTTATTGTTAGGCGATATCAAACGGAAATGTGCATGGTGAAAAGCTGCAACAAGATATTTATTGTTAGGCGATATCAAACGGAAATCTGCTTGTTGAAAAGCTACAACAAAGATATGGTGAAAAGCTGCAACAAGTATAGTTAAGGCGATATCAAACGGAAATCTGCTTGTTGAAAAGCTACAACAAAGATATTTATACAAGAGTTTTATTGTAAGGCGATATCAAACGGAAAAGTGCATGGTGAAAAGCTGCAACAAGATATTTATTGTTAGGCGATATCAAACGGAAATCTGCTTGTTGAAAAGCTACAACAACGATATTTAAACAAGATATTTATTGTTAGGCGATATCAAACGGAAATGTGCATGGTGAAAAGCTGCAACAAGATATTTATTGTTAGGCGATATCAAACGGAAATGTGCTATGGTGAAAAGCTGCAACAAGATATTTATTGTTAGGCGATATCAGGCGATATCAAACGGAAACTGCGTGCATGGTGAAAGCTGCAACAAGATATTTATTGTTAGGCGATATCAAACGGAAATGTGCATGGTGAAAAGCTGCAACAAGATATTTATTGTTAGGCGATATCAAACGGAAATGTGCATGGTGAAAAGCTGCAACAAGATATTTATTGTTAGGCGATATTAAACGGAAATGTGCTTGGTTAAAAGCTGCAACAAGATATTTATAGTTAAGTGATATCAAACGGAAACGTGCATGGTGAAAAGCTGCAGCAAAATATTTATTGTTAGGCGATATCAAACGGAAACGTGCATGGTGAAAAACTGCAACAAAATATTTATTGTTAGGCGATATCAAACGGAAATGTGCATGGTGAAAAGCTGCAACAAGATATTTATTGTTGTGAGATATCAAACGGAAATGTGTATGGTGAAAAGCTGCAACAAGTTATTTATACAAGAGTTTTATTGTAAGGCGATATCAAACGGAAAAGTGCATGGTGAAAAGCTGCAACAAGATATTTATTGTTGTGAGATATTAAACGGAAATGTGTATGGTGAAAAGCTTCAACAAGATATTTATTCAAGATTTATATTGTTAGGCGATATCAAACGGAAACGTGCATGGTGATAAGCTGCAACAAAGATATTTATTGTTACTCGATATCAAACGGAAACGTGCAGTAAAGCTTTCACCGTGATTGTGGAGCATGGTTTTGGTTTGCGTTTGTCGTATTTCGCGTGCTGTATGTGTGTTATCCTGGAGATAATATCTGTCCTGTTACATCAACGAAAAAATAAATTTGCTCGCAGAAAAATGACATAAAAGATGGAGATGCCAGACGTGGTCATTTGCATGAGAGCGTGTCAACGTACATACATATGCGAGATCTTCAGAGACATTCTAGCTTCAGGACGCGAGGCTTGCAGATAATCGAACCGTGACAAGAAAACCAGTAATAGATATTACGAGTAACGATGACATGTGTAAGTAAACCAAGTCCACAAGCCTGTCCACTCGATCCGGTTAGTCGCCTCTTACAACAAGCATGGGTTGCTCCGCGGGTCCGCACTGTAAAACCTGTGATCTGCATGTAATATAAGAAGTACTAATGCATGTATGTCGCAGAATATAAACAGTTGGGATTATATCGCTTATCATGAATATACCACTACAGATTAAATCATACTCACCAACTTTGCTAACGGCTGCTACAACGAGAACGATGGTATATATCATGGGCTGTCTCACATTTTCAAACAGGACACCGGCGATTTCAATGCCATGGTGTTCGGTGTGGGAGGTGTTGCGCTGCGTGGCGCTCGAGCCCACACTTGACGTTGATGTGGCAAATATCGAGCAGGAGAATATGCACAAAGATAAAGTTGATGCAAACGCCATGTTCAAATCTGTGCCAGTCAGCTTCAAACAACTTTCCTTTCCAGATTGGCTTGTAGGACCATTGATCTTGAGGAATTTACCTTGGAAATAAAATAAAGGTCTGTTTTTATTATGCACAAACTACCTGCTGGCTGGGTTGAGATAGTTTTGTAAATATACCCACATATTATTATTATATTTTGCAGATTAAAAAAAACTAATGCATCAGACAGAGATCGGATGATCCTGGATAATACGTCACAGTGAAACAGTGTACAAATTTGATATGACGTCATCCATTATTCATGACGTCGCAAATTAATAACATGACGTCACCTGAACTATATGGTGATGATGATTTTATGGAGAAGCATGTACAATGTGAGTGACCCCCCTACAATTTATGTACAAAGTCAGTGACCCCTCCCTGCATGTCATGTGCAAAATCAACCCCCCCCCCCCTTTCCCATATGTCTTAAGCATAATTTTTCAATATTTTGTATGTACAGAATTGCTGACCCCCTAGTACATGTGTACCATATTGATGACCCCCAATCTCCCAAGAACGAAATGGATGACCCCCTTAAAATCATCCACCCCATAGCCATAAATTATGAACGGTCCCTAATGATAAAATATTTTCTTCTTTTAAAGCTTGTGTTTGCTGTTATTAAAATTTGAAAACGTTCCAACGTGTTATGTCTTTATGAAAGCATAAAAATAACAGAAATACGCCATTTGTCAATTTTATGCAGGTAAGACGTGGGTAATAAATAAAATACCTCACTCGGCCTCATTACATACGAATTATACGAAACTCATGACATTCCTATAAAGGTCCTATGATCGAGCGAAAGGGAGGTCAGATAACAGAGGAAGGACACTCGTTTCGCCTAATTCGTATGCAATGAGACCTCGTGTAGCATTCTCTATACATTACATGTCTCTAGAAGTGCAATGGCAATCTGAAATATCTACGTAAAGATGAACCAGTTTAAGTTAAGCTGAACAAGTCCATGTAAAGAGGGAACAGTCTATGTAAAGAGGGAACAGTCCATGTAAAGAGGGAACCAGTCTATATAAAGAGGGAATAGTCCGTGTAATGGGGGAACAGTCCATGTAAAGGGGAACCAGTCCATGTAAAGGGGAACCAGTCCATGTAAAGAACCAGTCCATGTAAAGGGGAAACCAGTCTATGTATAGGGAAACCAGTCCATATAAAGGGGAACCAGTCCATGTAAAGGGAACCAGTCCATGTAAAAGGGAACCAGTCTATATAAAGAGGGAATAGTCCGTGTAATGGGGGAACAGTCCATGCAAAGGGGAACCAGTCCATGTAAAGGGGAACCAGTCCATGTAGAGGAGAACCAGTCTATGTAAAGTTAGAACCAGTCCATGTAAAGTGGAAACCAGTCTATGTATAGGGAAACCAGTCCATATAAAGGGGAACCAGTCCATGTAAAAGGGAACCAGTCTATGTAAAGAGGAAACAGTCCCTGTAATGGGGGAACAGTCCATGTAAAGGGGAACCAGTCTATGTAAAGGGGAACCAGTATATGTAAAGAGGGAATAGTCCGTGTAAAGGGGAACCAGTCCATGTAAAGGGGGAACTAGTCTATGTATAGGGGAAACCAGTCTATGTATAGGGAAACCAGTCCATGTAAAGGGGAACCAGTCGTTGTAATGAGGGAACAGTCCATGTAAAGGGATAACTAGTCTATGTAAAGGGGAGCCAGTCCATGTAAAGGATATTCTATTACGCATCCCACTGAATGCCAAGTTAGGCCGAAGTGGATTATTTCGACATTTGCTATTTGTAGTTGTGTAAATTTTAGGGATACAGAGTAACAGCCTAAAACAGTTTTTTTCTATTTCCGACAGTACTTTAGATGTGACTGACATCCCAATATGTGACATCACAGTCCCACATTCCAGATCCGTGAAGAATTTGGGAGTATATCTTCAATCAGATCTTTCGATGGACAGACAAATCTCAGAGCTCTGTAGAGTCTGCAACTACAATCTGCTGAACATAGGCAGTATACGCCATCTCCTCACTCAAGACACTGCAGCAACTCTAGCGAGATCCTTCATCCTGTCCCGGCTCGATTCCTTGCTGAATCTACAGAGTCGAACATCAACCGCCTCCAGAGAATCCAAAATGAAACTGCTCGTATGGTTGCCAGGTCAACCCACCAGCTGACATAAACAACATCTTAAGATCGCTGCACTGGTTGCCCATCCGTGCTAGTGTTGTTTTTAAACTCCTGTGCCTAGCTAGTCTGTCTCACAGTCCCTGAACCACATTATTTTCCTTACTGCCAAGCCCTCTCTGCAGTGCTAAAGCCCTAAATAAAGCAAGTCTAGATTTCCTCAGGTTCTGAATCTCTGGTCTCCCTAGGGCTCCTTTTCAATATAAATGGGTTTGTTTGTTACTATCAAAAGTATATATATTCAGAGACTAAGCCTTAGTCTAGTGCCTAGCCTACCAGTGTATTCATGGAACTGCTCCTGAGTATCTGTGTGAACTCCTGACACAGTACCAGCCAGCTAGATGTCTCCGGTCCAGCTCAAAGCAACTCCTTGACATTCCCAGATTTCAGCTGAAAACATTCGGCGGCAGATCTTTCAGTGTGACAGCAGCTGTCAAATGGAATCAGCTCCCTGACTCTTTAAAACACTCTGACTCTCTTCCATCATTCAAAACCCTCCTGAAGACCTATCTGTTCAACAACTATCTCTGACTCTGGACTTGCTTTGCTAAAGCGCTTTGAGCGTGCATTGATGTGTGGAAAAGCTCTATACAAATAGAACTATTATTATTATTATTATTATTATTATTAACACGTTGTAATTGTGCAGATTTATATACATGTAACTCAATCGAGCCCTGATTTATGCTTTATGACCCTGAACGAAAGGTATGGATGGTTTGTTGTTTAACGCCACACTCCTCAATATTCTTCTCGAGTCATCGTGTGTATTCATGAGACGAATTCGTGTAACCGGTATTCAAATGATGACAACTATAACAGGGAATGGTCGGGACCAACAGGTACTTCAAGTTATGCATAATATTCGAGACACCGGCATTCGACTTATCGGGATTTGACTGTATATGGAAGCAGTCTGTAAATAAGGACCGGATCAAACAATCCAGTGATCAACATCATGAGCATTAATCTACGCAATTAGGATACGATGGCATGTGTCAAACAAGTCAGCGAGCCTGACCGCCCGAAATGGGCTTTGTGGGGATTCGAACCCGGGTCTTCGGCGTGACGAGCCGACGCTTCAACCACTAGACTACCCCACCGCCCCCACATGTACATGTACATAGTAGCTGGCGTTTCTTCATTTTCGATTCCAGTGTAAAGTTCTCAGTTTCAGCTTCAAGGATGTTGACTAGGTGACTCAACCTGGTGTCTTGTCTGGTGACGAACGTGTTCATTGTGGCAATGTGTATATAATGGTCTTTTCAAGTTTACATCGCGTCATCTATATATACAATTGTGTGCCTAATAGTTGTGTTCCGATTAATTGAAATAATCGAAGATTGGTCGCAGTGACCAAACGACCAAGCAATCGATCACATTTTCTCATAATCGAACATAATCGATTTTGGAACAACTGTTTTAGTCTTTGAAATACTTGACAATGGAACATATCGTTGAAGTTGTCAGGGCCTGAAAACGTGTTTAATTCTTAAAAAACTCACTTCACTAACTGGAAAGCCATGACTGAATATTTCTTGAAGACTCCGGGAAGTTTATGTTCATGATATATTAGTCATCACTTTAAAGTAGCAAGTTGCATCATATTATACATATCTGCAATAACAACCTGGATAGGAAAATCTGAAAAATGACGCTAACCAATTGTTTTCGATGATTGGTTGTTGGTAATGAAACAATCATCAATTGTGAGATTTCAACCAATTCCCAACTCTAATGCCTATATTGAAGTTGTTCAGTGGGGTTATGTGCTGGCGATTAGGTGCCTGACTCTGAGGGTGTGGGTTACTGTGTCCTCCCATTACTCAGGGTTGCAGATATGTTTTCAAATATGTACATATCTGTTACCTCTCAAACAAATCGTTTTCTCAGTTAACTTCTGTTGTACATATCCTATTATTGGGAGAGGGCTTTTCTAAGCTGGATAACTTGTGCCCAATCCTTAAATGGATAAAATATGTTTCAATCAATAAACACAATCAAACGTCTCAGTGACAAACCTGTTTTTATATTCGAAAGTAATTGATAGTAAAAACAATTTTGAGAAGAGAGTTTCATTTAATCACAGCAAAGTTCTATTTACACGCAATCAAACTTCTCAGTAACGAACCTGTTTCAGGCTCACCCTGCTCTACTCACTAGACAGTGGACTGTTTTACTATACCCGTAGGTGTTACCCTACTGCTTGACTCGTATTAGATGAGCCTGCGCAGTACACGCGTTTGTGACAAGTAAACGGGGGCGCGGTGGGCGAACTGGCTAAAGCGCCAGGCTAGTGATCCAGCGAGCTTGAGGTGACGGGATCCAGCCCACCTGTGACCGGGTGTAAAAACCTTGGAGTCAACTTTGTGTGTAGCCTCTCTCAGTGTTGTCACAACCCCTAGTGTACAGTACACAACCCTGTGCACTTAAAATAACCCACGAAACCGTTGGTATATGACCAGATGGTGGCCACATGAATACGTGCAAACACCTAGCTGCGGGTACAGCAACGTGCAGTGAACTTGGACAAAATACTGTGACTATGTGTCCCAGTCCACCCAGCTGTGAATGGGTACCTCGTAAGGATGGGAATGCCACAAATACTCGGTGCGCCTAGTGGCTGCAAGAGTTGTATGATCCCCAGGGAGTTGAGATTGACAATACGATGTGCCGTTGAGATTGACATCCAGTGAACGAGGGAAAAACAAAGCGCCTTGAGCAGCTGAGCTGAGCTGGATATCGGCGCTATACAAATGTTAGTATGTATGTATGTATGTAAGTAGGCGGGGCAGGGAATCTAGACGAATACATTTGGTTGCTACAGGTAGATTGGCGATACATGCTGCCCGTGGCGTGAACTCAATACCGCGTCTGTTTAACACGTG